GTTGGTGTCCCCTCGCCTCCTCCCCTGCAGATCTGCACTGCATCCAATCTGTTTTACATCTACTTTGACATGCTTGGAATTACTCATTCAACAAGTAACTGCAGAGAGCCTTCCTGGGGGCAATGGGTTATGTTTCAGTCCCTGGGAGCCTGCCCTCCAGAGAGGGCAGGATGAGGCTGCTTGGGTAGACAGCAATGATGACAGCTGGAGTAGGCCAGGTGCTGTGAAGCAGGCAGGGATGCTCTGGGCTGGGCCCTGAAGAGTCAGGGATAAGAAGGAGCTCTTTCTCTCTCAGCTAGTTAAGCCGAGGGCTGGCAATGTGCCAAGAGTAGGTAGCGCTGGCAGCTCAGAGGAGTGCAAAGGGGCCAGCATAGCCACAGTGTGACAGAAATGGGGAAGGCTTAAGTGTCGGGCACCAGGTAAGGCCACCAGGCCAAGGTACAGAGTCCCAGTCAGAGAAGCCTTGAGGAGGTTTTAAGCATGGTGGAGATATGCTGTGTTTTATAAAGATCCTGGTGCAGCTGTGGGAGAAGTGTGTCAAGGCCAAGCAGTACAGCCACAGAAACCTGCTCCACTGTCATGTCTGCCTTTCAGAAGAAGAAGTGTCTGTTAGCTGAAGAATCTAAAATTAGTTCTTTTAAGATGTTTTATTGTAAAATATATACACAAAGGAACCAATAAAACACGTACTCATTGTTACTGCCACAGTAAGATGAAGCTGAGAAGCCTCTCTCCTCCCCAGTGGTGACTGCTCTCCTGTGCTGAACCAGTCATGTTCATATTTTCCGTACAGTTTTATTCCTGTTCTGAATTTTCCTAAAAAGCATCCTGTGAAGCTGAGTCAATTTCAACTGTGTACAGATGAACTGTTCCATATGCAAGTTCCCTCGCAACTTCCTGACTTCCTCCTGGGCCACCACATCTCTGAGACACCCTGGTAACACAGGGCTCCCACCATCTGCCCACAGCTCCTCCTCCCCACAGGATGGCTGTCCACTGTTGGGCTGTGCAAAGCTTGTCTGTCTACTACAGACGTGCATTTTAAAGGTGGCTGATTTGAGGCCAGGATTGTGTAGGAGATTCATTCGGTTACTCTGCTGAGTATGGGACTGTGGGTCCCACGGTAACTCCACACTGTTTTCTGGGTGATTGTGGTCAGCAGAGCCCCTTGTTAGTGAAGGCAGCTCCACCTGCTTTGCACTCCTGCCAGTGCTTGTTCCTCCCTTTCTAATTTTGCCAACCCTGTGAACAAGCGCTTATTAGTCCATTCCAAAAGGTTTAGGATCCGTTCTTCCAGTCAGGGTCTCACGATTCACAAATCTCCGTGTAAACATCTTCCAGTGAAAGTACCTCCAGGTCCTCTCTATGCATGATAGAAACTGATTCCCACTTCAGATGGCAGAGCTGTGAGGGGGTCAGCCCTGCTCAATGTTTTCCCTGGAGGCCAGGGAAGGTGTCCAATTCCTTTACACTATTCCATTTTGATGGAAGATGTTGTGGAATTGGAGTTGAGTCCACATAATGGGACTGCATTCTTCCTCACAGTGAATCCATGATAAAAGCCAGCCACTGCTATCTAGGTAAATTCCTCTGGCCACACTGGTCTCTGGTCTTGTATCACTTGCCCACCTGGGCCTCAGCTCCCCATCCAAAGCTCTCACTGTGTCCACTGCCAGCAGCCCTTGCCTGACCTCTCATCCCAGATGCACACTGGCATCCCACATTGCCCACCGACGCAACCACTCTGCCTGCCATGCCACCTCTGCCACGTCTTGAAACACGACAAATTCCCTTGACTGGCAAAAAGTGCCCAAAATCATCATTAAAAATGAGAGCAAATGCTGAAAGTATTTTCATTTTCATTACACAAAATATAGGCTCTAATTCCTTTATGCCACTGATGCAAAAATTCACACCGTAAAACTGTAAGCAGAGAATACACTCCTTCCTGGTAGAGAAATGTCAGAAGTGTCCTTTGGTTAGTGTGCATTGTCAACAGAATGTTATTCTTCATAGAATGGAAGTTTCTGGGAGCTTTCTATGTATAAAAACTACACAAGTATTATAAACAATTAACATAGTAATTAGTCATTGGCATTGTTCAGGACAAAATAGTGGCTGATAAATGTTTAATTCGCACTTTCTCAAAGGCCCAGTACGGATAAGATGATACTGCTTGGATGTTGACAGAAATCAACCCTGTTATCCATCTCTCACTTTTTGTGTCTCTATCTTTCTGTGTCTATGTGTGTCATTGTCTCCCTGTATCTGTCTCCCTTTGTAGGTCTCTGACTCTCTGTATCTCTATCTCTGTGTCTGTGCTCTAAGTGTCTCCATTTCTGTGTCTTTCTATGTTCCTATCTCTCTCTCTCTCTCTCTCTCTCTGCATCTCTGCCTATCCCTCTCAGTGCTGCCCTGTCCTCTGTGGCCACACAGGGACATGTGTGCTTTGGCTTCCTGAGGCAGGCAGGGAAGGCCGCTGGGAGTGAGGAGACCAGCATGAACAGATAGACAGATGTCAGCATGCAGGCCAGGTGGAGGGACAGTGGCAGGGAGAGGACAGAGCCTGGGAGAGAGGCAGTGAATATGAGAGGGGCTAGAGAGTTTGATCTGGTCTGGCCCAAGTTATAGAGAGTCTCTGGCACTTTGTGTACAAGAAACAGACTCATGCAGGTCAGCCTGATAGATAGGTAGGGGCACTGGTGGAGAGGGGTAGGGGGCTGGGGCCTGGGCAGAACTCCTCACTCTAATTGGTCATGGCTCCAGCTTGGCCCTAAGGCTTCCTGAACAACCTTTGGGTATGTCCTTCGGTTGCAGAAGGAAGAAAAGGAGCAGGCCACTGGGACAGCTCTCTCTAGGCAGCAGGACAGTGGCAGCCTCTCTTCCATCCTGGGAGACTGGACCTCTAGCCGTATTAAGACCTGCAACTCAGTACTGACATCTCTAACAAACAGCAGGGATCTGCTACCCTAGGTGATAGATTCAAAGCATAAAATATTGATTCTCCTATAGCAAGAACTAATAAAATCAAGTGTTTAGAGCTCTTTAAAGACAAAGCTATAAAATGGCTGGGTTCCGTGGCTGGTACCTGTGATCTCAGCACTTTAGGAGGCAGAGGCTGAGGCCAAGGCCAGAGGATTTACTTCAGGCCAGGAGCTCAAGAGCAGCCTGACCAAAGCAAGACCACCATTGCTACTAGAAATAGAGAAAATTAGCCAGATGTGGTGGCAGGTGCCTATAGTTCCAGCTACTCAGGAGGTTGAAGCAGAATTTCTTGGGCCCAGGAGTTGGAGGTTGTAGTGAGCTAGGCTTGGCATCATAGCATTCTAGCCTCAGTGAGAGAGAGATTCTCAAAACAAAACTAAACAAAATAATCGCAAGAATAGAAAAATAAATATCCAATGTACTCCATACTAATATGAAATTGATATATAAACAATTACATAAAGCTCATAAGAACTATAAAACATTAATATAGTCCAGTTTGGGGGGAGGGGGAAAGGGTGGGCATCTGGCAGGAGAGAGGGCATGAGGTGGGGATCTCACCTAAAGTGCTCATCGTGAGGGTGTATAACAAGCCCCCTGGGTGAGGGGTTCTTCTACAAATGGAACTTGACCCTGGAAGTGAGAATAATGTAACCTAAAAACTGTACCTTCATATTAATTTGAAAAAAAAAATACTTAAAAAGAAAAAGGAAAAATAGGCTTTTCAAAATTTTAGCCAAGAATAATTAAGAAAGATTAAATACCAAAAAGCTGAAACAAAACAAACAACCCCCCCCTCCAAACAATAACAAAAATGCCACAGTGAGAAGTGAGCCTGGTATTAACTACTAAGTGAAAGTTGAACAAGCCCTTGTTGACCAAGGTGAGCTCCTGACTCACCTGTCCTATTCTGGTTTCAGACTTGGAAAGAGAAGAGGAGGGCAGGGAAGGAGACAGAATAGAAGAGGAGGAATGTGGACATTCTAGAGCTAGATGCATACACTTGGAAGTGAGGAAAGAAACCAAACACACCAAAGGAGTCTGACAAAGCCTCTGACCTCATTTTCTACCCTTTTCCCTATGCCTGCAGACTCAGGCCATCTTGATGTTTACAAGAAAATCTCTATCTCCTCTGAAAGAAAAAGCTAAGACCATGAAAACGCCTATGAACACAAATTTGGACTAAGTTAAATACGAATCTGAGTCATTTCTAGATAAGATATAGAAAATATGTATTTGCTTTTACTTTGAATGAATTAAGCATTTACAAAAGTCAGAGATACATTTAACATACTTTTTTTTTTTTTTTTGAGACAAGAGTCTGACTCTGTTGCCCAGGCTAGAGTATCATGGAGTCATCATTACTCACAGCAACCTCAGACTCCTGGGTTCAAGCAATCCTTCTGCCCCAGCCTCCTGAGTAGCTGGGACTACAGGCACCTGCCAAACTGCTCAGCTGAACATTTGACACAAAATTAATGCTGGGTTTGTCTGGGGTCAGGAAGAGCAGTGAGTTGCTGTTGCAAGTGTCAGTGCTGACCTGAAGCAAAGGCCTGATGGCAGGATCACAAGAACAACACACCCTAACTAAACTATTTCCTCTTGGAGCCACCCAGAATGATTCCACATCTTAATTTTCTGTTTTTAGAGACAGACTAGAGTGCAGTCATCACAGATCACTGCAGTCTCCAACTTCCAAGCTCAAGTGATCCTCCCACCTTGGCCTCCAAAGTGCTATTACTTACAGGCATGGGCCACCATGTCCAGCCTTCGTGTCAGAATCATGCAGACACATACCATCCTCCATAGCCACCAGATCCAAAAGTCCTAAGAGCTCACAGAAGGTTCAATAAAAGGCTGCGCAACACTAAGTAACCGCACTATCAAACAGGTTTGGCCCTCATTCTGGGGAGACAAAGGGTTAGGAATAAGAATGGAATTTGCTTTTGGTGTGGGCTCTAAATCAAGTTTCTGAAGTTCTTCCCTGACTCTAAATATTTCCCTTTCATTTGCAGGTTTTGTCTTGGTCATTGGGCTGGTGACTTTCTACAGAATCGGCCCATATACTAACCTGTCCTGGTCTTGCTACCTGAACATTGGTGCCTGCCTTCTGGCCACCCTGGCAGCAGCCATGCTCATCTGGAACATTCTTCACAGGAGAGAGGACTGCATGGCACCGAGGGTGATTGTCATCAGCCGCTCCCTCACAGCGCGGTTCCGCCGTGGGCTGGACAATGACTATGTGGAGTCACCGTGCTGAGCTGCCCTCCTCCAGGCTCTCTGTGAAGATCCATTATCACAGAAGGTCCTAGAAACTGATGGTTTCTTCCAAGTCACTGTCATTGTGCAGAGGCACATGCTAAGCCCATATGTGTACACATATGTATGATACACATGTACCTTTACTGTTACATATAAGTATATATATATGTGTGTGTGTATAATATGTCTATACCTGATGTGGTCAGCACACGTGGCTTCATGTGTATGCTGAAGGGTGGAGACCAGACTCTGAGACTTGGAGTGAGAGTGCGTGGCTGCCAGGCTCTCCTCTGTGGTTGGGATTAATTTATTCTGCATCTGCTGGGAGGGGCATCCCTGGTCATAGTTTACTTGGGTAAAGCAGAAAACCCAAGAAGATTTTCTTGAAATAGCCATGATATAACTTGAGTAAGAATCATAACCAGAGAGTAATGGTTTTATGATGAAAGCATGTTCATAGTGTACGTCTTACTCCCAACTATTTTTCTTTTTCTAAGTTAAAATAAATACAAATCTCTTAACTCTGAAACTTGTGTTTCGTCCATCTACACTACCACATGAGTGAAGAAAATTTGATCAATTTTTTTGTAATTTTCTCAGGCTGATGTTAAAGGTTGAAAGAAGCTTTTATTTTGGTTGAAATAACCTTTTAAAAGACTCAGTGGAGCACCTGCCTCTGCTTATGTCTTCATTCAATTGGATCTCAGAGTCCTTATCCCTACAGACTCTGAAAACTGTGGCCATGTGATGGCAGGTCAATAGCTAGTACAGTAAGATGGAAGAAATCTATTTAAATAAAATTCAAACAGATTGGTTTATTTACTTTTTGCCCTCCAAAATCTTTACCCCATCTTTAGCTAAATGCTTGGTAAGCTACAAAACGCCTCCACGACCCACATTCATTTCAAATAACAACAGCAATTCCAAATCTCCTAAATCTATAAGAGGTCTATAAGCTATAATTCTGCAGGCTATGAAGAAAACATCTAAGAGCTACGACTCAGGGGTGAGAACCTGGAACCTGGAACCCAGAATCCAGCTGCCTGACCATATGTGTAACTATGGTGCAATGCTAGCCCAGGCACTATCTCTGACTAAGAGCTGCACATCTGCCCAGAGGCAGCAGGATGGGGAAACTGACACTGGGGCCGGAGGGTACCATAAAAACCTAGGGCCTGGCTACCTGGATGCCCCTCCTTGAATAAATGCCCAGCTTTGTTGCTTTTGACCTTCCAGTAAACGTAAGGTGATTGATTTGGATTTTGAAGCCTACGTGGTCCCAGGAATTTGTCTTCACCTGACAGTAACTGAAATGCACTTATATATTGACCACTTACATGTACAGACAGACATAGATTACTCTGCACCAGGCAACGAAGTCCCTGCCAGAGGCACTGAACCCTTAGGGTTGATGGAAATTATCACCGCTTTTAGGTCTGGTTTCAAGTAATGGATAGCATGAACTAATCCTTCAGCCTTTGACCTACTAACATCAAACTTTCACACCTGGCACAGCTGGCACAGAACACTAGAAAATTGGATTTGCAGATGCACTTCAGCACACCAATGCCAACAGTTGGCTTTTAGCTTCCCCCACTTGACTTATCTCCTACAAGAGATTTTTATTTCTAATCATATGCTAAAAATAATTGTTTTTTAAAAGAATAATGGACTATTTGAGACATTGTACAATTCTCCTCGTATTATATATAATACATGACTATGTAACTGTACACTAAAATTTTAACACTGGCCATTTGTCAGTTACAGTCTGTAATCACATTTATATTAAGTGAAAAATAATCAGCCGAGCACAGTGGCTCATGCCTGTAGTCCTAGCACGCTGTGAGACTGAGCCAGGTGGATCGCTTGAGCTCACAGGTTTAAGACCAGCCTGAGCCACAGGGAGACCCCTGCCTCTAAAAATGGCTGGATGTTGTGCCAGGTGCCTGTAGTCCCAAGTACTCAGGAGGCTGAGGCAACAGAATCACCTGAGCCCAAGAGTTTGAAGTTGCTGTGAGCTATGACACCATGGTACTCTACCAAGGGCAACAAAGTGAAACTTGTCTCAAAAAAAAAAAAAAATCAGAAATAATCAGAGACAGACCATGCTGTGCTACACAGTCTTTCCAGCACATTCAAGCCAAGAAGTTCTCTCATTTGCATGGCCAGTGTGAGAAAGGCTCTTCCCGGGGAGATGAAGGAGGTTTGGCCACACTGTCTCAAGCAGGACAGGGGGCTGGGCTGCACTTCCTTGTATGACAGGAATCATTACTACAAGAGGGAGGGAGGGCTCAATGCAGGCAGCTTAACTATACATCCTCTTTTCCCACTTCTGTTTTATTCTTCAATAATTTCTTTGTCTTTTGGAAATTAAAATCTGTGACATGCTCTTGTGAGGAATTTATGAATTCTCTTCAAACATAGAAGAAGGTGGTACTCACAGATAGTATTTGATCGATCACTTCCTTCAAAGCAATTTTAATTGTGTTTCACCTTACTGTTTTTTGTGTTTAGTTATCAAAACCTTTTCTGTTTAGGAGCAGTTATTCCCAGAGGGATGGGTATTACAAATATTTAGCAACCGAAGAACTTTTGATTAGGAAGCATCCAGAACACTTTAAAATAAACCAAAACAATCTAATAACTGCCTGAGAAGCTCCCAACACTGTAAAGGCCAAAAGCCAGCTCACCCGCCTCCCACACCCAGCTTCGCCTCCCCAAATGCCCTTGCCATGTGGCACAGTGCACCAACCATACCCTAGCCTTGCAAGCTTGATGGCATTTCACTGAATGGAAAGATCATGAAATGTACCATAACACAGTCACAAAAGAGTTAATAGTTTTAAAAAATATTATTTAGAAGGAAGTTATAAAGAAAGGAAAGACTCTAAGAGGTGTGCTATCGTCTTTTGACATCTCAGTAAATGGAATCATCCTCACCTTTTGATGAGTTTGATAGATTTGAAAGCTTCATCCATGTCGCCAATGGTGACAAAGAAGCTAAAGTTGAGCATGGCGTCCTGAGTGGGCTTGTCACAGTCTTCCAGCCCGATAAAGTCTCTCAGGGGTCTCCTGGCCACCATTTGGGGGACCTGCTGGTATCCAGAATCTGACTTGTCTTCTCTGTCTCCTTCTCCAGGCTGAAAAAGGCCCGATTTGTTTGTCAATTTACATGCAAAGCTAAATGGTTACACCTGAGTCCCTTCCTCTAGATTTTTGTCAGTTATGGGAGAAAAAAATCCATGTGCAGATAGACATAGATACTCAGCAACAGGCAACAAAGTCCCTGACACAGGCACTGAAACCCTTAGGGTTAACGGAAATTATCACTGCTTTTGGGTCTGGTTTCAAGTAATGGATAGCATGAACTTATCCTTCAGCCTTTAACCCACTAACATCAAACTTTCAACAGTTAAAAATGGCTATAACAGTTCCCATCTCCAGCTTTGGTTTTGTCAGCTATAAAATTTTTTTTACTAGCTATAGTTCAAGTCAGACATTTGTACTTATCTCCAAGGTCTCTTAAAATTAAGTAATGGGTGCATGATTTCAGGTAGAATTTTCCAAAACAATAACCTGAAATAGTTGTTCATCCTCCATACTGTCTGTCATTAGCCAAATATAGTGTTCCCCCAAAGAGGCACACGAGAGGAAGATGCATTCTCATAGGCCCTAGTGTGACAGCACAGTCTCACACAGTATGCTAGGGATCTTTTTCTATCTGATACTTCAAACAGCAGCAACTAAGGTGATACTGCTGTGCCACATGCCCCTTTGACGGCTCCCATCCTAACCATGGCTCCTTCCTCCCTGCTGGGTCAGGAGGAGAACCCCACCTCACTCTCCTGCGTTCTCTCTGCAGCTCTCACCTCTCTGACATACACACACCTTCCTCATGTAAAGGGGATCCTGACATACCCTCCCTGGACTAGCCTTCCCTGCAAGTTATTGTTCTTGTATCTGCTTCTTCTGCTTCTATTCTGGGCCTTTTTTTTTTTTTTTTTTTGAGACAAGAGTCTCACTTCGTCACCCCTAGAGTGCTGTTGTGTCATAGCTCACAGCAACCTCAAACCCTTGGGCTCAAGTGATCCTCCTGCCTCAGCCTCTTGAGTAGCTGGGACTATAGGCACCTGCCACAGCACCTGGCTATCTGTAGAGATGGGATCTCACTCTTGCTCAGGCTGGTCTTGAACTCGTGAGCTCAGGCAATCCACCTGTCTCTGCCTCCCTGAGTGCTAGGATTATAGACATGAGCCACCATGCCCAGCCTCATTTTTCTTTTAAGACATGGGTCTTGTTCTGTTGCCCAGGCTACAGTACAGTGGAATGATCAGAGTTCACTACAGCCTGATCATTCTCCCATCTTGAAGTCATTCTCCCCTCTCAGCCTCCCAACCAGCTGGAACTGCAGGTGCACCACTGTGCCTTGCTTCCGTGTAACTTCCAGAAGGGTTACTTTGGCAACTGTCTCCCCAGCTCAGTCACACTGGCTCCTCCATCTCACTACTCTTTTTATAAGCTGACCTGCAGCCTCAGTGAGGAGACCTAGACCCTGAAAAAAACTGGTGGGATTTGTCAGACTCAACTGGAGATTGGGAGGGGGGCTTCCCAGACACAGCACAGAACATAAACAAAGGCCCTAACACTTCAGACCAGGGTGGCTTTAGAGTTCATGGGTCACACCATGCAAGATTATAAATGCTGAAGAATTTGGACTAATTATGCATTAAGTGCATTAATTCTGTATTAACTATCAGAAAATGTATATGTACCAAAACAACAGAGTTCCTCCCTGCTCTGGCATGACTTCCTGTAGCAACATTGGCCTTGGTGTGGTGCTAATGTAAGCACTCCCAGATTCTCATCATTCGTCACACCCTGTTCACCTGCCTGGGCTCTCATGCTGGTCCTCTTCAGAGCCCTATGAAGGAGTGACAGATTACCCCATGTCACATCAGACTAAAGCAACTTGCCACTGTCACACAGTGCAGGGGCTGGGAACTGAGAACTGGTGGACATCGCTCCCCACCATGCTTAAATGTGAAGGCCCAGGAAACTCTGGAGAAAATAGCCTGAGGAATTTAAATGCAGGCAAATAATCTGAATATGGATAGCCGTAAAGGATAAAATGCTTTATGGCTCTTCTTCACTACTACTTTAAAGTTTAATAAAACCCCCTATATTGCCAACCTAGATAAACTAAGTATTTCTTATGCCACCAAGACCAGTGGAAACAGCTATCTGCCTCATATGCCCAAGCCAGGACCAGACCTAACAGACTCCCCTGCAGCTATGCCAGGAACTCTGCTCAAATAAAAAGCTGGCACTAAGCTGCTCAGGCTTCCCAAGATACCTCCTTAAAGAGCATATGCAAGCTAAGCAGAAAGCATCAGCACACTGATAATAGCAGCTTACAGTAAAGAAAGGAAAGGATCTTGGGAAACTACGAAGTTAAGGAAACAAAGAACTGAGTTGGGGGTCTATACTTACAACTGCATCATACATGCCTCCTCTCTGGAACAACAACTAGGAGTGGGAACATAAAGGAAGATGGGAAATGAGAGTGAGAAAAGAAAAGATACATAAATGCATGGGAGAAACAAAAATCCACAGTGTGAAATAAATAGGAAAAACTCAACAGAAAGAATTTAAAATGTCTTCTACAACCTTTTGAGTTCTCAACGAGAAATTAAAACAAATAAGGAATATAAAAGAAGAATAAAATTCATTAAAATGCCAGTGTGGTGATTTTAATCTATTAAAAATAAGGGAATCAGGACCATGTACTGACACAAAGCAGGCCCTTCTGTATGGCCCATGGCACAGACACCTCTCCCATGCTGCACACAGACAAGCCAGTTTCAATAAAGGCACACGTGTATATAGAAGGCTCACTGTGCCACTCCCATGGCTATGTGTGCTGCTTTACATGGAGACCTGGAGAAACTGGAATCAGCTGCATCTGAATCTCAGCCAGGTTCACTGTTGCTGAGCCCTAGAACCAGAGACCTGCACATACCTGGCCATGTAACTGTCCCACATCAGGGGGAGCACCTTTGGCCCCATGTCCTTTATATCAAATCCTTTCAAAGTAAATAATAGCCCTGGAAAAAGTGTGGGTGGAGCCAGCAGACTTGCTTTTGCCTATGGCAGCTTATATAGTAAAGTGGCATTAGCTTCTGTGGCCATGTAGAGATGAGATAACTACACATAGACCTATACATCTTTCCTCTTCCCTAAATATTCCTCTGGGACATTCTCCCCCATCTCAGTTTTCAAGCCTCCTGATCCCACTGTTGGTTACAAAAATAACACATGCTACTTGTAGTAAGAGTCTTACCCTGGCTTGGCGCCTATAGCTCAACTGGCTAAGGTGCCAGCCACGTACACCTAAGGTGGTGGGTTCGAATCCCCAGCCCGGACCCTCCAAAACAACAATGACAGCTGCAACCAAAAAATAGCCAGGCGTTGTGGCGGGCGCCTGTGGTCCCAGTTACTTGGGAGGCAGAGGCAGGAGACTCGCTTGAGCCCAGGAGTTGGAGGTTGCTGTGAGCTGTAATGCC